AAAAAAAATAAAATAAAAAAAATAAAATATAATTAAAAATATATAAAATAATATCTTGATTTTTTATAAAATTAAATAATATTAAAGAAAAACTTGTTTTTTTTATATTCAAATTAATTTATTCATAATACTACTCCGCTTTAGCATCCCCCATTTGGTAAAATCCCTGACTGTTAGTGTTTAAACGGGCCACCCGGGTCAGGTCATGTCGATCATGGGTCAGGCCGGGCCGGCCTTAAACACTACTGACTGTATGTGAGAAAATGATAAGCCACATTTTTGTCTAATGGTCAATCAATTCAAAAAATGCTTTCGCTTACCAGTGTAGCGCAGCCTTTTTCAGGGTTTCGTCTTTTATTAGAGCTTAAGAAGTTTCGTCTTTCACCCGAATTCTTACCTTCCACTATTGCACCAGGGGGGTTCGTCTTTCGTCTTTCGCCAGGTTTAGGTTTAGTCTTTCGCCATTTACGTGAACTGGTTTTGCCTAACAACTATAATTTAGCCGAAGTATTTGAGCCTTTTTTATGGGCAGCACCAAAGAAAAAAACCTCACACTCAAAGAAACGAATGCGCTCAGCAAGCAAAGGATTGAAAGATAAAACGAATATTGTTAATTGTCGGGTCTGTGGTCAGCGACGTTTGACACATCATTTGTGCATTTATTGCTACAAAGATTATTTGTATAAGCATAAAATGCAAAGACGTTCTACAACAACGGTATTACTGCCTTCAGGGAATTATACTCAAATATAATAAAGAATCAGAGGAATTTAAAGATTAAAGAGAAGATCGAGGTATAGTACGTTTAATTCAAACATGTCGTGATCTGGTGAATCGATTTAATATTTGTAATTTATTAATAGGCGAATAAGTTTTAACCAATTATTAAGGGAGATAAATCAAAATGAAATCAAATGCTGCGTTATATCTTTAAATATACCGTTAATTAAAATAAAAAATGCAATTGTATATTTTTGCCATGCTGTAACTGGCAAGACTAAAATGTATGACAGGTTATAGTCTTAATTCGGGCTGATTGATCGACATTGGCCTGCATTAAGCAAATTTCGAAATTAGGGTTAGGTTTGGGCCGA